CCTCCCCCCCCCCCCGCCCCTCCAGATGAGCCAAAGCTCTGTCCCATGCCCCGCCACAGGTGTGCAGCACCTGCCCCAGGCCCCGTCCCACTCCCTCCCTCACCGTGGGGCCTCAGTCTGCCCCTCCCATACCCCTTCCCTCCCTCCTTGCCCCTTCCCCCACAACAGACTTAGCAACTAGACGCTGCTGTCCAAGCTGCCTGGCTGCATATCGGCAACTGGATGGGTATTGGCTGATATGACTCATTAAAAATTGGCCATCGGTTTCAGTCCAAAAAATCTCTATCAGCGCACCCGTAGTTTGAAGACCTCCAAATACATGATAGACACATATGTGTGCATGTATGTGTACAAAAAGTTCGCTGACTTTAATCCAATGGCTAGGTACAGGTGTTATACTTACTGAGCTTTTAGCATGCAGAAAGTGCTCTAAAGCCATAACTGAACAGACATTCACAGCTCTTAGAACACTTTAAAAATGGTGGATCATGCTCCAAGTTAAACCTCAATGGATGTGTACTAACTTAAAGTGGTTTCTGTTGCAGCGTTTTACCAAATGTCTGTGCCAGATCCCATTAAGGGTTGACTTAGAGCACAATTACTGTCATCCTAGGCAACTGTGCTCTACCTCAGGAAGAGCTCTCTGCTCTGCCTGAGTTCCAAGCCAGTCCTGTCCAGCACCATACCTAGCCTCCTGGTGGCCCCAAGCAAACTTTTAGTATTGGGCCCCCCGTTGCCAGAGACAATGATAATAATAATAATAAAAATAACCATTTGGGGGTAATTTTTCTGTCCAGGCCCCAGGCAGCTGCCCAGTTTGCCCATCTGTGTGTCCAGTCCTGGTCCTGCCCCCCTCAGCTGTCACTGATCTCAGTCAATGACAGCCTCTGATCCCAGCCCTGCCTCTTCCCTCTGGTCGGCTGCAAGCCACAGCATGGCCAGGGTAGAGAAGCTTCAGGGTCTAAGACTTATGTTCTTGCAGCAGCCCCAGCCAGAGAGCAGTTACCACTGCCTGGTCAGGACTGCTGCAGGAAAAGGGCTCCATGACTACATGAACTGGACCACAAGTCTAGATTCAAGATACTTTTGGGAAGAAAATCCATCATTGAGAAGCTACAAGATTACACCATGGATATCTATCTTGCCCACTGGAGGGCTACAAGCAAAACTGGAATGCACTGGGCAAAAAGGGGGCAGCCAGAGGGCGTACTTATTCAACATTTCTCATTGCAGGCTCTGCCAGTGGATCAGTTTATAAAGCCATCCATGGAAATTGCAATAAACTTTTGTTTCACCAATATCTTAAGAGATAACACAAGGGACAACATAAATATTACCCACCCTGGTGCTTCTGGTGCAAAGGTAATAAAATAAAGCATAGGTTAATAAAGAAAGCATAGGTTGAATGACCCTGATTTTCAGGTTTCCATGTATCCATGGCCATGTGAACGAGGAAACAAGGGGCATGTGTGCACAACACTTTAAATCAAGTTAAATGCTTTTGCACCACTTTAATGGTGTCGGAGTTTGCACGTGTCGGTAGCCCCTCTTAGGCAGTGTCGGAGCCACTGTAGCAAATTCGGCAGCGTAACGCACCTTAAATGACTTAGGATGCAGCAAACTAAAACTCCAAGGAGGAGTTTTAGTTTGCTGCTCTACAGCCGTGGAGCTATGCTGCCTGATCTCCGCCCCCCGCCCCAGAGCCAGCCTGCCTGCCTGAGCTGCTCAAGGGCCCGGTGCTTCTCTCCATGACTGCGGTGCCCCTCACAACCACCCGAGCCATGTGCCTGTGGGTGGGTGTCACCTCGGGGGGCACCACCGCTGTTGTGGAGGGAAGTACCTGCCCTCCACCCCTGCAGTCCAGGGACCACCCTTCCCTCCCTGCTGCCAGAGGCACATAAGTTTGGGTGTGTGCATGACATGGGGGTTTAAAGAGCCCTAAATTGAAGCGGTGTTTTTAAAAACCCACTACTTCGATTTAGGGCTCCCATTTCACCTACACATGCCCCATGACAATAACATTTAATGGCTCATCCTGTATGTAGTCCATTACAAATTGTCATTTGAATTCCCTTAGAAGAAGGAAGATGATAGACATAAAAACATAACTATGTTCTGGCTGTATTTTGGGTGTTTTAAAAATATAGGTCCCAATGTGTTTTTCATACAAGGCTTTAATCCACACAGCATGTCTTCTTCTATAACCAGTCCTGTGACTGGTACTAAATATTGTCTGTACTGATTTTGAAGTGATTCATATACAGGAAGATGGATTCAACAGAAATTTAGGAACTTTGATTAAATGATGGTATTGATATATTGATATGCTCCTCAGTGGTTTCCAGGTAATCCCACCTTATGAATAGCAATGGAGACTAGGAAACATATCTAGGAAGTGGCAGTACCGTAGCAAGGAAGTTTGGCATCCAAGACAAGCTTGCAGCAGCAGCCCACCCTCACCTTGCGCACAGATCTGGGGGGCACATGCCTCCCCTATGCTTGCCCAGGAGTTCACGCAGTGGCTGGAGCCACCCTACCCCTATCTGCACCCCCCCAAAAACAATCCGCTTGCAGCTCTGTCCTGCGCCCTGCCCCAGCTGGGCAGCACCTCTTGGCGCTCCTTTGATTCAGTGCCCGGGGCAGTCACCCTGCTCTTCCCCCCCTTGCTGCAGTACTGGGAGGTGGCATGGTACAGCTGTCACCTATTTGCATAAGTACCTACCATTTTCATACATCACGGTCCCTTTGCAATTCACAGTATTTAAGGATTCTATTGGTATAGTTCTTGTCTGAATGATTATGGTCATACCATTACTTCCCCCGGTCAATCTGTCTATTCATCAAAATAGCAGAGCTATCTTTCAGAGTTATTATGCAGTGTCAGTATCTCACAAATCCATGATTCTCTCTCAGTTTTGTGACAAAAAGCATTCTTTTTAAAAGAAGCAGCCTATAAGCGATTATGCTGCTTAAAACAAGAACATTGTGAAATTTTGAATGGGAGAACAAAGTATTGTCAGAATTTTATTCCTCTGTGTTCATGCAGGTACAAGGAGCCCCTCTCTCTGTTGACCCACACTAAAAACCCTCTCAGCTAAACTAAATTAAAAGAATAAATCATCCATTCTGGTCAGGGAGTTTCTTTGCCTTAAAAGTTGTTTGGATTTATTTGCAGCTTTTATTGTTTCTGAACTAAAGAGAGAGATTATTCTGCTACTTCTTCTAGTGATGTAAGGACCAATACTTTATGGAAGGTTATTTTAGTAGAGCTATATCAAAACCCTTAACGCTGACCCCTTAATAAAATGTATCTTCATAATTTCAGGAAATTTTTTAAAATATAAGGGTAATCTTTAGTATTAAAATGTATTTTGCACTCTCAGCTGCCTTGCAACGTTAACCTCTGTTCATAAAGGATGAACACAATATTAAAGATGATGAGCTCATATCTTACTTACACAAATGGGCTTACTCACCCAAGACATAAAACTCACTTTAGTAAGGGCTTCTGTGACCATGAACAATATTTCTATGAAAGAAAATGAGATTAGATCATGACTGTGTTGGCATGGCTCCTTCAATGAAAACAACATGACAAAGAATCAAACTGAACTAGCTCAAGAACCTCTAGCACTTGTGATACTTTTGTACAACCGTCTGCTCATCTTTCCATCATCATTCACTGGGCAAATTCACATTGTTTTCTACCCAAAGAAGCTGAGAGTTATTTCCTCTCAATTCTTTGTAATGTGAGGTAATCAATAAACTATTGAAAATAAATTAAGAACACATTGCAAGCTAAAGCCCTATGGGTTCAAAAGGTGTGGTGAACTGGCTCACAGGAAGAAGTAGTGACAGTATTTCCCCGTGGGAATTTATCCTACCCTAAGGGAGTTACACATGCAGCCCACAGGCCAGATTGACCCACGAAGCCCGGTTATCTAACCCACAGACTTTTTTCTCCAATTCTGGTTGTGATGGGGGACCTTCCCAAGGAGGCAACTGAGTGCCCAGGTAAGTGCCACAGTACTGAAGCCCCAGCAGCACAGCAGGATAAAGCTTGGCTCTGCGGTTTGTTCCTGCAGCAGCAGCCGAGGGCCCAGGATGCCAGCATCCTTGACTGGCTGCAGCAGGCACTGCATGAATTGGATCTTGAG